AAAAACCTCTCCAAAAAAAAAAAAAAAAAAAATTCAAAATAGTAAAATATCTTTTGTTAGACTGGCCTGTGGCACAGCAGTTTCACAATGTTGGGGCTAACTAAGGTAGAAGGGCTTTAGGTTCACATCTGGACACTTCCTTGAACACACTGAACATTTGCATGGTCTTGATCTAAGCTAGCAAAAACTGGGACTGCATTGTGGTGGGGACCCTATTGGGGGTGCTTGTCTTTGTTCCTCTTTCGTGGAAGAAAGAAAAAAAAAATTAGAAAAGAAAAATATTTCCATAAACTAGTTTGCTCAGGAATGTTTTTCTATACTTAGAATTATTGTTTGTTTTGTTTTTTCCTTTTGGGTTTTTAAAAGTTTGTTTATTTTTTAGTTTTTAGAGGTTTGCCTTGTGCTTACAGGAGTTGGGGAGGGAGGGAGAGAAATACACAGTGAGAGGAAAAGTGAGAAATCATTCTGTAAAGGGAATGGCCATACTGCAATCCTTTCTCCTTCGTTCTCCTCCAGGGATCTTGGGCACTCATGCACATGTACCTGGTGTGATTTTCAAGTCACCGGGTCTAGGACTTGAATTGTGGTCAGCCATGTGGGAATTAAGCAATGTAGTCACTACAACATCTTCTGGTCCCAAAAGTTTATTTATTTTGAAAGAGAGACAGGAACTCACCAGGCCACAGTCTACCCCACCCTTCTTCTAGACAGTCAGGATTGGCGGCATACTTGGCATGTTCAGGTTGATCCAGAATCTGTCCCTGAGGCCTTCCCATATGGCTCCTGTATCACATAGTGGCACCTTAACCATCTGAGCCACCAGAAGATTGTTTTATTTGTTTTCTTCCCAGTGAGAATGTACAAGTGAAAGAGTTCGTTTCTTCCCATGTATGACAGCAGAATTTAATTGTATAAAATGATAGAATTTCTTTGCATAATTTGTTTTTCATGCCATTCCAATTCAACCGTAAGTTTTGGAGAGATGGAAATATAGTTAAAAGAAATAGTCTTGGATTAATCCTTTATCTTAGTGATATGTGTGTATGTGTGTGTATATATAGAGATATATAGATATAGATGTCTACATGTATATGTATATTTTTTTTCTTTAAAAAAATTTTTTAAGAGAAATTTTTGTTATAGGGTACATGTACTCACTAGAGAAACAGAGGGAGACAAAGAGAAAGCGAGGAATCACCCTTGGGGGAATGGCCATGCTGCAATCCCTTCTCATCCTTTTCCCTTAGGATTTGGGGCATGTACACATGTGCACCCAGCATGAGTTTAAGCCTCCGGGTCTGAGACTCAAACCATGGTTGACTACGTGGGAGTCCAGCGACATGATCATTACTCCATTTATTGGTCCCTCTTTCTAAAATTTTTAATTGTCAGATGGTACATATGCTCACCAGAAAAAGAAAGAGTATACCCCTCAATGGAGCAAGATTATACTGTAACCCATTTTCCTTCACTCCTCTTTCCTGTCAGGATTTTGGGCACACACCTGGGCCTGGCATATGTTTCAAGCCACGATAGCCAGGATCTGAACCATGGTCAATCATGTGGGATCTGGCTTCTTATATGTAGCACTTAACACAGTGCTGTGGGGCTGGTCCCTATATATTTAATGTCAAAGGAATTTTTTCAGTTTATAATGAATATAGTTTAATTTATACTTTAAGCCAAGCTTTTAGAGCCAAATAAAATATCAGATTTCTTTATTTTGTACTATATCTAAGAATACATTTTTCCGGGAACCAGCAGTTAGCGTAATGGCTATGTCGCTGGACTCCCACGTAGTCGACTGCGGTTCGCGTCCCGGTCTCGGTGGCTTAAAGCTCACGTCGGGCGTGTGTGTGTGTGTGCCCAAGATCCCAAGAGGGGAATGGAGGAGAAGGGATTGCGGCGTGATCATCCCCTCTGGGGGGTGATTTCTCGCTTTCTGTCTCTCTGTCTCTCTTTCTCTCTGGCAAGTACATGCGCCCTATAGCAAAAAAACCTCTCCCCCCCAAAAAAACATCCTCTCCCCCCCCAAAAAAAATACATTTTCCTCTTTTTTAAGAATTATTTAATTTTGTTTATTATCATTTTCTAATTTGCTACAGGATACACGTGCTCACTAGACTAAGACAAAGAGGGAGAGAAAGCAAGCCACCAGGTCAGGGATACAAACTCTGATCGGCCATGTTAGAGTCCAGTGCCCCCACTACCATGCCACCAGCTCTCCCCATAAGAATACATTTTCTAACACCTCCTTTCACTTGTTCCTACTTAGAATATTAATTTGGGGGACCAGCAGATGGTGTAATGGTTACATCTCTGGACTCCCATATAGTCAACCATGGTTCAAGTCCTGGACTTGGCAGCTTAGATTCACATTGGACACGTGTGCTTGTGTGCACAAAATCCCCAGAGGAGATTGGGAGAGAAGGGATTGTGGAATCGCCATTCTCCCTGGGGGTGATTTCTCATTTTCTGTCTCTGTCTGTTCAACTCTTTTTGTCTCTCTGGTGAGCATACGTGCCCACTAGCAAAAATCTCTAAAAAAAAAAAAAGAGAGAGAATATTAATTTCGCAATCATTGTTTCATTGCACTTCTAACTCTAGGGCTCAGTAGGAAAAAAACCCCAGAAAAACAGATATTTACTATTATAGTTAGTCTTTATATAGTGACTGCTGGTACAAGGAGTAGATATTTTTGTTTAATTTTTGTTTTTGCTGGAGGATGCATGTGTTTCTCAGAGAAAGATGAAGAGATAAAGAAGAAGAAGGAAAGAGAGAAAGCATCCTCTTCGGGGAATGGTCACACTATAATCCCTCTTCTTCATCTCTCCCTTCTTTTGGGATTTTGGGTACTCACACTCATGTGCCTGGTCTGTTTCTCAAGCCTCAGGGTCCAGGACTCATACCACACAGTTGCCACATAGGCTCTGGCTGCCTTAACTGCCAGGCCACAGAGCCAGCCCAAGAATGGGTTCTTACATTTTATATCTAATCTGTGATATAATTTTATAAGGGAAAAAATTTTAACTTGCAGGTGCTGGGTTGACCACATAGCACAGTGGTTAAATGTTGTTTTGGGGGAGCTGGATCTCACATGGCTGACTGCAGTTCTAATCCTGGCCCTGGCAGCTCAAAAAATACTCTGGGTATATGTGCATGAGTGCCCAAAGTTCTGATGGGATAGAGGAATGGAGGAAAGAGATTGTTGTTTGACCACACCCCTCTGGGGAGAGGCTTGCTTTCTGTTGTTTTGTTTTTATTTTTAGACTTTTGTCATAAGACACATGTGCTCGCTAGAGAGAGAGACTGGAAGAGGGAAAATGAGAGATAACCCCCCCCCCCAAGAGGGGATGGCCATGCCACAGTCCTTTCTCCACCATTCCCCTATAGGTATTTTGGACACCCATATGCACATGCCTGGCATGCTTTTCAAGCTGCCAGATCTAGGACTCAAACTGTCGAGTCAGCCATGTGGGATCTAGTTCCTTAACCACCATACCTCCTGCTGGGGTGTGGCGGAGAGGCTGCTTTCTTTTATTCTCTCTTCTTTCTCTGATGAGCATGCATGCCCTCTGGCAAAAAAAAATTTTTTTTGGAGAGGTTTTTTGCTATAGGGCGTGTACGCTCACCAGACAGACAGAGAGAGACAGAGAAACAGAAAGCGAGAAATCACCCCCCAGGGGGGGATGGCCACGCCGCAATCCCTTCTCCTCCATTCTCCCCTCAGGATCTTGGGCACACAGGCACATGCGCCCGGCATGAGTTTAAGCCACCGGGTCCGGGACTCGAACTGCAGTCGACTACATGGGAGTCCAGCGACATAGCCATTACGCTAACTGCTGGTCCCAATAAAATTTTTTTAAAATAATAGTATGACATACCATACAGCCATTAAAAATAGGTTTTCTTAGAATTTTTAATGTTCATTTTTGTTAAGTGACAAAAGCAGCATATAAAATCATATATTTAGTAATAGAGCAAAGGATTCAGAGAAGATAGGACCCGAATGTGACTTCCTTCTCTATTCCATCCAACTTCAGTTTCTCTTCCTGTCCCGAGTCAATTGCCTGCTAGGTCCTGTGCAGGTGAGGCCTTGGGGTCCAAAGGAGCACAGATAAACCTGGAATAAACCTTGTTTCAATCTGGGCTGAGCATGCACTAGGTGACCAGCATCAGAGTTCTTTAGCAAGGATTATAGATCAATAGATTTCAGGAAGAGTTTGCTCTAAGAGACCTGTGAATGTTAGGGGAAAGGTCAGTTGAATTTCTCAGGACCTGATGGTTTATCTGCTTTGCTTTGGTAGTTTTGCTCTCAGAAGCAAAAGACCTCTTTGCCTTCCTCCTATTGTGGAGCTATTTCTAGGAGTATTTAGGATATTTCAACAATTAACCAAACCTAGGCCTCAAGTTAGCTGACAAAGAAAAGCAGCCACACAGCTAAGCAGGTCCAGCTGCCAGTAAAATGAAGAAGATACATATCCAGCAAGATAGAGTGACTTGAAAAGAAGGATGACAATCTAAACAGGAAAATAGTATGCATAAGAAGAGTCTATTACAGAACATAAAATCTTCTGATGCTTGGGCCAGTCGGTAGCATGGTGGTTAAGGCACTGGATTCCACATGACCACCTTTGTGGTTTGAGTCCCAGACCCAGTGGCTTGAAAAACACAACTGCACGTGTGTATGTGTACCCAAAATCCTCAGAGGAGAATGGAAGAGAAGGGATTGCAGTGTGGGCATTCCCTGAGAGAAGTAATTTCTCAATTTCCTTCCGTCTCTCTCTGGCCAGTACATGTACCCTGTGGCTAAAATCTAAAAAAAAGAAAGAAACTTCCTAAATCTCAAAAGTGTGATTTTTCACTTAACTCTGAAAAAGACGGAAATCACTATTGAAATTTTAATTAGTGCCCAAAAGATTAAAATGGAGTACCTCAAAGGAAAAAAAGAATCATGGAAATCATAGGACATGAAGGATATCCATGAGAGCTAACAGAAAGAGAGTTCTAGTTCTCAAAGGAGAAATAGAGGAAGGATAATCATTAAATTCTTCGTTCTTTATTTTATGTCCAGATTATTGTTACCTTCTTTGTTTCAAGAACTGTCATGCTGAGGCGTGTATTGGGTCGTCGGAAAAGTCACGATGTATTTGTTTATGTTTCTATTACTTTATGTAATACCAGACTGTATTATCTGCTATTTCCCTTCCTGTAGTCATCTATCGAACTCTGAGTCTTTCATTTTAATCATTTGATCGTTTTAGTTCCTAGCTGACTGTCACTGTCTCCAATACTTCTTCACTTGTAAGTCTCAGTCATTTCTCTATCCATGTAGATGATACTTCCAGTACATTAGCTTCTCGATTGATCATTAACTTCCAGTAGTTCTGTGTTGTTTCGGCTTGCCAGCACCTGTTCATGTGCATTACCTTACTGCTTATTAACTTATTATGAATGACGTACTAGCCATCACTGGCTAGAGAACATAGTATCTTAAATTAGTTTACAAATTAAACTTTTAGCCAGTGAAGTTTTATTTTATCATTGAAATAATTTTAAGTTATTTCAAAAGCTAGCATATTTAAATTAGTATTTAATAGAATGTATATTAAAATCTAATTCTTTTTAAGTCTGTAGATTGTTTTTTACGTGATTTTGGAAGTAAATCAGAGAACAAATATAAAGCAGCGTATATATACTTCACCGACTGTAAGTATCTTTTTTAAGTTACTGTTTCCTTGTCTAAAATTTTATTAATTTTTAAGCATCTACTTTTTGTAGTACTATGTCTGTTCTTGTAATTTTATATTTATCACTTATTGTAATTAGGCTAAAAAGAATCTAAAAATATAATATGTATCTTAATTTAAAGTTAAACTGGTAGAAAATGAAAAGAAACCATTCTCAACTCATTTGAAAAGGCAGTCATTTTTGATGATATACTAGGGTAGGGGGTTGGTGGAGAGAGAGTTATTCCTCCAGTTCCATACTGGTGTCATGAAGAATTTATTTTTAATCAAATTTCCAATTAGGGGTTTGATATTATAAAAATAAGACCCTTTAGAAGGGCACTGCAGTAAGCAACTATTTGGCAAATATTGAGGGAGAAAACCTATTGCATTTCTCTTACCATGGTCACAGGTTCAGATAGAAAGCAGCTAAACCAAAGAGTCACATAGAAGTTCAGAGACACATGCAGTTCTGTTTTGTGATATAATATGTTATATAATTATACGTAAAAATAAAAATAACATTTATATAAGATACATTTCAGTCTTTGCTATTACAAATTCTTTACTTTAAGTAGCATATGATTTTTTTTAAAATTTTTACTTTATTTATTTATAATTTTAAAATTTGATCAGAGAGGAACAGAAAGAGGGAAAGTGAGAAAGCCGCCAGGTCCAGGACTTGACCCATGGTCAGCCATGTGGGAGTCCAGCACCTTTAACCACCACGCCACCTGCTGGCCCCAGTATATGATTTTTTTCTGTAAATCTTTATTTCATACCTAGATATAGTTTGCATTTTTTAAAAACATCATACCATAAGTAGTTGTCATTGTACATGTTTATCCCATTGATAGCATTTAATAAATGTGAAGCCTTGGGAACCAGCAGTTAGTGTAATGGCTATGTCGCTGGACTCTCATGTAGTCGACCATGGTTCGCGCCCCGGATCTGGTGGCTTAAAACTCACACCCGGCGCGTGTGCGTGCGTGCCCAAGATCCCGGGAGGAGAATGGAGGAGAAGGAATTGCGGCATGGCCATCCCCCCCTGGGGGGTGATTTCTCGCTTTCTGTCTCTATGTCACTCTCTGTCTGTCTGGCGAGCGCACGCGCCCTATAGTGAGAGCCTCTTCCCCCCACAAAAAATAATAATAAATAAATGTGAAGCCTCTTATAACTTAAAGAATCTTGAGGCATGATGTTAAAAGACAGGAGGAGCAAGTGGTGGATATCCAACCTCGACCTAAAGGATCTACAAGCACTTAGGTGAAGGGGGAATAACGCGGGCTCTAAGTTCTAGAGCTTAGTGGTTTAGAGTCTTAGAATTTCCTGGCGTTGAAAATGTTCCTGTAATTCTAGTTGACATTAACAACTTGGTTGGTGGGACCAGCAGTTAGCATAATGGCTATGTTGCTGGACTCCCATGAAGTCGACCGTGGTTTGCAACCCAGACGCGATGGCTTAAAATTCACACTGGGCACGTGTGTGTGTGTCCCCAAGATCCCGAGAGGAGAATGGAGGAGAAGGGATTGCGGCATGGCCATCCCCCCTGGGGGTGATTTCTTGCTTTCTGTCTCTCTGTCTCTCTCTGTCTGGTGAGTGGACGTGCCATATAGCAAAAACCTCTCAAAAAAACCCCAAAAAAACAAAAAAAACCCAACAACTTGGGTGGTATGGTTGAAGTATAAATCACTTAGTGGCAGTTTTGGAAAAGTAGAGTAAATTTATTTCTAAGAAGTTCTGAAAGTGCTTTGGTATATTAATTTATGAGTTTGGACATGATTTTCCTTCCTAACGATTTTAGTGTGCTTTGTTTGTGGGTCTCTAAGGAAACGTGTGAGGTTATAGTGAATATGAATAGGAGGAAATGGAATTTCTATTACAGCCCTTTGACTAGAATATATCTGTCCTATAAAGAGCAATGTTTATATCTATCTTTGTCCTCATAATAAATTCCTTTATGAAAGCCAGTAATTATATTTTAAAAAATCAGTATTCTTAAATGTTAGAATGATTTATTCAAAAGGAATAAGGATTTCAGTGGAGTTATATGTTTTTATCTTTTTATATTCCTCTCAGTTTGTCCTGATAGTCTCTTTAACAAAATTAAGGCTTCCTGCTCCAAGTCAATAAGAAGATGCAAAGAAATAAATATTTCCTTCATCCCACATGAATCTCAGGTACTTTCTGTTTCTATTTTCCTAGAGAATTATTTCATTTTACTTATTATAATTTTATTTTAAAATTTGCTATAGGTCACATGCGCTCAGCAGAGAGATAGAGAGAAACAAAGTGAGAAAGCTAGCCACCAGGTCCAGGATTCAAACTACGATCAGCCACGTGGGAGCCCAACACCTCAACAGCCATTTTTGTTTTTAATTTCAGTTCCTAATAGATTGTCAAATTTGGATTTATGAACTTATTTGTTAAAAATATATAAATGTGTTCTAGGGACCAGCAGATGGAGTAATGGTTACATTGCTGGACTACCACATAGTCGACCACGGTTCGAGTTGTGGACCCAGATGTTTCAAACTCACACCAGGCACATGTGCGTGTGTGCCCAAAATCCTGAGAGGAGAATGGAGGAGAAGGGATTGTGGTGTGGTCATCCTCTGTGGGGGGTGATTTCTCACTTTCTGTGTCTGTCTGTCTCCGACAAATGCACATACCTTATATAAAAAAAAAATCTCTCTCTACATATATATACATTATATGTATATACACACACACACTAACACAAACACGTATGTGTTTATATACACACATATGTATATTCTAAAGCTGTTTTGTAAATATATTTTCATATATATACATACACACACACACACACACATATATATATATATACGAACACATGAACATATATATGTATATTCAAAAGCTGTTTTATAAATGTATTTGGTGAATTTTGAACCTAATTCACAAATAAACATTTCCTACGATGAAGGGAAGAACCTGAGCAATAAATTGGAACATGGCATTAAAAATGAAAAGTGGGGAAAACAATGAAAAGTGGGACTTAAATTTCACCTCTGCCACCAAGTCCTGTGGATGTCAAATTACAACACTACTCCATTATGAAATCAAGAGATTCTGAGCACAATCTTAGATGACTTCGAAACAAAAGTTATTTCCTTTAGCTTTTGCAACCATTTGTTAAACAATGATTTATATTGGGGTTAGCAGGCGGCATGGAGGTTAGGCACTGGACTCCCACATGATTGACTGTATGGTCTGGGTCCTGGATCTAGTGGCTTAAAAATCACACCTGCTAAGTGTGTGTGCATGCCCCAAATCCCAGGAGAATGGAGGAGAAAGGGAATGTTGCATGACCATCCCTCCCGGGGGTGATTTCTCACCTTCCTTCTTACAGTCTCTATTTCTGTGTGTGTGTGTGTGTGTGTGTGTGTGTCTCCAGTGAGTGCACAAAAACCTTAAAAAATAAGCCATGGACCAGCAGGTGCAGTTATGGTTGTATTGCTGGACTCCCACATAGTTGACTAAGATTGGAGTTCTGGACCCGGCAGCTTAAAACTCAAGCCAGATGTATATGCATGCATACCCAAAATCCCAAGGCGATGGAGGAGAACGGATCGTGGCATGACCATCCCCCTGGTGGGGGGAGGTTATTTCTTGCTTTCTGTCTTTGTCTCTGTGGCAACTGCATGCACCCTATAGCAAAAGTCTCTCTAAAACAACCAACCAACCAACCAAATGGTTTATATTAAAACAAATGTTCTTTAAGAGACTTTCTGTAATGTTATAAATTATTTTAACTTATAAAATGAATGATTTTTGTAGCTTTGTATGTTTTGTCTTTGGAACAGTTTTGATAAGTCTCAATACCAGTAATGGGGGGCCAGCAGGTGGCATAATGGTTATGTCACTGAACTCCCACGTAGTCGACTGCAGTTTGAGTCCTGGAGTCCTGGACCTGGCAGCTTAAAACTCATGCCAGGCACATGTACATGCATGTCCAAAATCCTGAGAGGAGAAGGGATTGTGGCATGGCCATCCACACTAGAAGGGTCATTCATGCGCACTAGGGGGGACCTTTCTGTCTCTATCTCTGTCTGTTTGGCGAGCGCATGTGTCCTTTAGCAAAACTCTCTCTAAAGATACAAAATAAAAATAACAGCAGTGGGATAATAGCACACATTTGTATAGTACTCTCTGTGTGTGAGATACTTTCCTCACTACTTTACATAAATTTATTCACTTACTCCTCACAATAGTGCATACATGGTACTTCTATCTACACTTTAAGTATAAGAAAATCAAAGTCATGTGGCTAGTGAATTGTTCCAGTTTGTTGTGCTCTTCTCTAATATAATTTTACAGAATTGAAATGGCTTACTGTTGTTTGGAACCGTGAGGTCAATATTGTAAAGTGTGGAAAGTTCCTACATAAGGGATTTCTTTCTTAAAAGAAATTGCTCTTTTTGTTAAGGATTTTAATCTAAATTGTAAAAATTTAAAATATCTGTTTAACATAAGCTGTTTTCCAAACCTTTAGACATATTCTTTTTGTATCATGTATAAATTTAATGTAAGGTAAAAATGGACTTCCTGAAACAATACGAGATATAAGCAATTGAACAAACATTGCCAGAACACCTTGCTTCATAGCAGATATAGTTTAGCCCCAGAGTTCATTAAAATTCTGCAGTTGCTGTATTTGAAGGAGGATTTGTGTAGTTATCTGACTGATTTGATGGCTAATGCAAATACCTTGTTTCTGTGTGTATAGAAATTTCTACTATACTAGTCCATGAAATGCTGTGATTATTTACTGTCTTGTCAATTGTTTTCACCTAACATCTTAGACAGCTTATTTAATAAATTTAACTGTTCTAGAGAAATTAATGTGAAAATATTTTGGATTTTTGTTTGCTTGCAAGTGAAGATATAAATAGAATACCACTAAGTGTTTTAAGCTATGAGCACAGGCCTATGTGAGCATCTATCAAAATCCTGTTCAGGGGAACCAGCAGTTAGCGTAATGGCTATGTCGCTGGACTCCCACGTAGTCGACCGCGGTTCGCGTCTCGGACCCGGTGGCTTAAATCTCACGCCAGGCACGTGTGCATGCGTGCCCAAGATCCCGAGAGGAGAATGGAGGAGAAGGGATTGCGGCGTGACCATCCCCCCTGGGGGGTGATTTCTCGCTTTCTCTCTCTTTGTCTCTGTCTGTCTGGCGAGCGCACGTGCCCTATAGCGAAAACCTCTCAAAAAAAAAAAAAAATCCTGTTCAGTAGACATTGCTAGATGCAAAGCAGCCTGCTGTGAAAAGAGAAGCAAGGTATATGTCCTATCTTAATTTGAATGCCATAAAAGAGATACTAAGTATTATATATTTTCAAAAGTAGTATCAATTCAAATTAGATTTAACTGCCCATAACAGAAAAACCTAAACTTTCAGTGATACAGCAACATGGAAATTTATTTTTTGCAGACATAAAAGAAATTAGGAAATATATATGTTGGCTCTTCAAAACAGTAAGGGCCCAGTACCCTAGGCATTGCCCTCACTATCTAAGATGACTATAAGATAATTACATCCTCATTTGAGGTAGCAGGATGAAAAAGAGAGAGAAATAATTTTCATTTCTATCTCATTAGCTAAAATTTAGTTATATCATCACACTTCAGTGCATAGGAAACTGAGAAATGAAGTCTTTTAGCTGGGCGTATATGGCTATCTCTCCCAATGAACCGGAGTACAGTTACTGAAAAGTAAGGGTAGTATGGTTGTGGGGGATATCTGGCAATCTGTCAAAAAGAGAGAGAGTAATTATTATAAGGAGATTGGGAAAACGTTCAAAGAATGGATAGAATTTGGTAAGATAGTCATGAAAAAGGAAAGAACATTCTAGGAGGTCAGAATAATCTGAATGCAGAGGTACAGAAACAGAAAAGTACAGGGAAGCAGTAGGAATATAGGATAAGGAGTGAAGGTATCGTATATAAAGCTCACTATGGATAAGACTCCCTACAGAGAGGCTCCAGGTCCCACCAAGAGTAATGGCAGAAAACAAGCAGGTACAGAAAACTGTGGGATTGACCCTAAAGTCTTTAAGCTGTAGAGTCCTAGAAGGCAGAAGGTCATTGGGGAGATATTGGTAGTCAGATATGATATTACTTCAAAGAAGTGAAGTTGGACATTTAATGCATTTAGAAGTTCCATGGCAAAGAAAAATGGTGATTCACTCCTCGTGACTTCGTGAATCGAAGGAATTAAAGACATTTCTCTCTCTTTCTGAGAGCTTAAGGGAAGTAATGTTGTCACGTATACATTTAGGCAAGTAGATGGAAAGCACTCAAGAATTTGAGGGAGTTTGTCTACAGTGGACCTTAGGCAGTGCCAAGAGTCTGGTATAGTTAGTGAGAAGCTGCTAAAGGAATCTAGGGAGAGAGAGCCAAGCTGGCTATAGAGCAGCGTGAAGAGTAGATGGAACATGACAGCGTGGTGCGGGGGTAGGAGGTCTAAATTTAAGGAATCAATTGATGTTATAAAGGCTAAAAGAACTTTTAATGCTGGTGATGGAAAGCAGAGAGGAAGAAGAGAAAGAAGGAAATGAAAAAAATGTGAATATAGAATGAGAACTAGCCCCAGAATTCTATTTGGTACAGTGGAGTACTAGATGACTGAGATTAATTTAAACTGTAAGAACCCCTCAACCCCTAGTGCATTACAGTGACAAAGGTTTATTTCTCATTTCTGTTCCTGTCCATTGTGGTTTCCTGGGGGTTTTGCTGTAGGTCCCTGCATTCTGGGACTGAGGCTGAAAGATAGTCTGGGGCATAGCAAAGGGAAATGAGAAAAGTGGTGGACACACACTATGGCTTTTAAAACTTCTGCTGGGAAGTAGCCCATGTCTTCTGCTCAGTGACCATAGCGACACCTAACGTAAGTGGATGGAAACTATATGCTCATGTCTTGTGGGGAGGGACAGTAAGTTTTCGAACACATGTCTACTGCAGTGGCTTAGTATACTGAGAAAGCCACAGTTGGGTGTAGGGTGCTTGCTGGCAATTATAGCAACCTAGTCTGTGAGCAGCAAAGAGATAAGTGGATTGACCACAGCTAAATCTCAGTCCTTGTTCAGACTGCTGCTGTTGGTGATAGCTAATGTTCAGAGAAATGGGTGACTTTCATGAAAGGAGATACAAGGAAGTTTACTCATAATTCATCACTCGACGTATATTTATTACATGCCTACATTTAGTCCAGTACATTATCCTAGACTAAGAGAGATTACTACTATTGTTTAAGAAAGAAAACCAGCAGGTGGCATAATGTTACATCTCTGGACTCCCACATAGTCGACTGCAGTTCAAGTCCCAGACCTGGTGGCTTAAAACAGACTGGGCAGGACCAGCAGGTAGCGTGGTGGTTAAGGACATTGGACTCCCCCATGGCCAACTGTGGTTCAAGTCCTGGACCTGGCAGCTTGCTTTCTCACTTTCCCTCTCTCTCTCTCTCATGCTGTCCCTCTCTGGTCAAATTAAAAAATAAACAAACAAATGGATAAATAAAGTTAAATAAAAATAATTCTTAGGATCAACAACAAAAACAAACAAAAAATTCACACTAGGCATGTGTACATGTGTGCCCAAAATCCTGAGAGGTGAGTGGAGGAGAAGGGATTGCGACGTGACTATACCTCCAGGGGTAATTTCTTGCCTTTTGACGGGTCTGTCTGAGACTCTTAAGCAGATGTTTCTCATTTCAGAAATATATCCACTGTAGTTGCCTTTTTTTTTTTTAAATGATAGATGTACTTGTAAGCAAATAGTACACTGCAAACATTCCTGCCTATTAATGAAAATCTTTCAGTGTTGGGGGGGCCCTGTGTTTTTAAGTTTTTAAAAAAGATTTATTTATTTATTATGAATATTTCACATGATTTCGCTAGAGAACGATAGAGAGAGAGGGGGAGAATGAGAAAACAAGCCTCCAGGTCCAGGATTCAAACTACGGGCAGCCAAGTGGGAAGTCCAGCAGCACCTCAACCACCACACCACCAGCTGGTCCCCTGTTTTTAAGTTCTTTTTTTCTTTTTTCTTTTCTCTTTTCTTTTTTTTGGAGAGATTTTTGCTATAGGGCATGTGTGCTCGCCAGAAAGACAGAGACAGAGACAGAAACTGAGAAATCACCCCCCCGGGGGGATGGCCATGCCACAGTCCCTTCTTCTCCATTCTCCTCTTGGGATCTTGGGCACGCATGCACATGTGCCCAGTGTGAATTTAGGCTACCGCATCTGGGACTCAAACCACGGTTGACTACATTGGAGTCCATTGACATAGCCAGCTAACTGCTGGTCCCCGTTTTTAAGTTCTTAATGAGGTTGTTGAGGTTTGCAAAAGCTTCTGCTTAACCCCCCACTGTATTTTCTTGATGAGTCTTCTTATTCTTCCCCTGCAGTTTGCTTTTCTCTGTCCTCTTCTTGCGATGTGCATTTCTGTGTCACTAGCTGATAGGAATTTTTCAGGTCCATTATAATCTTATGAGACTACCATCATAAATACAGTCTGTTAGCCAAATGTTGACAGGCAGTGCATGACCATTACGTCTGGCACAGTGCTTGTCTTTTGAGGAAGTTTATGTCTATTGTAAGGGCATGAGGGGTGTAAGCTAAAGAATTGAAGATACATGTCAACTATGAGAAGTTTCTAGATTGTTCTTAATGGGTTAAGATTTTTTAAAATGTCTTATGTATAGACAATTTTGGCTTTGTTGTCTTAACTTTGTACCAGGTATTAGATTTTTATTTTGGTTCATCTGGCTTAAATTCCTTCATCTGTTGCAGAGGTAATGAAAAGCAAACAGTACAATCTGTATATGAAACAAAAATTCAAGGAGAGGGGTATATTAAGCAGGAAAGGAGAGTGGGAAAAGAAATAAAAAATGAAATCAAGGGACCAGCAGTTAGCATAATGGCTATGTCGCTGGACTCCCATGTAGTCGACCATGGTTCAAGTCCTGGACCCAGTGGCTTAAAACTCACGCTGGGTGCATGTGCATACGTGCCCAAGATCCTGAGAGGATGGGACCAGCAGTTAGTGTAATGGCTATGTCGCTGGACTCCCACATAGTCGACCACGGATCGAGTCCCGGACCCGGTGGCTTAAACTCACACCAGGCACATGTGCGTGCGTACCCAAGATCCAGAAAGAAGAATGGAGGAGAAGGGATTGTGGTGTGGCCATCCCCCCGGGGGGTGATTTCTCACTTTCTATCTCTCTGTCTCTGAGCGCAGGCGCCCTGTGGCAAAAACCTCTCCACAAAAAAAAAAAAAAGAATGAAATCAAGATGACAGAGAATATGAGATTTGATTAAGGTAAAGATCGTGTTTCAAGAAACAGGTTTTTTTGTTTGTTTGTTTGTTTTTGAGAGATTTTTGCTGTAGGGTGCATGTGCTCACTGGAGAGACAGAGACTGAAAGCGAGAAATCACCCCCCAGGAGTGTTGGCCATGGCGCAGTCCCTTCTCCATTTTCCTCTCGAGATCTTGGGCATGCACACACACACACACACACACCCAGCGTGAGTTTAAGCCTTTAGGTTCAGGACTTAAACTGCAGTTGACTACCTGGGAATCTAGCGATGTAACTATTATGCCATCTGCTGGTCCCGTGGATGTTTATTTTTAAAGTCCCAAAATAATAGCCACATTTTTCTTGACATATTTTTTTAAATCCAGTGTGCAGATTGACAGTGTAATTTTTTTTGGCCTGACTTAGGTGTATACTCTTGACGTACCAGATGCATTCTATTACTGTTATAGTCCAGACCCTGGTAATGCAAATGGAAAGGATGCCATTATGGAAGCAATGGCTCAGCAAATAGTTACAGTATGTGCCACCTTGGATGAAAACCCTGGAGTAAGATATAAAAGGTAAGACACTCGTTGGCATCTGATGTGCTGTGTTTTCTGTTTGCTGTGCAGAGTACAGAGGCAAAATGTCTCCCTGCTTTCATGTGTTGGTTTACAAAGTTCATTTTCCTTGTACAGTTATGCTCTGAACACAGAAAATTTAAAGTTTAAGGCCTAAATTTCAGATGAACTAATAGCCTCTGTTACTGAATTCCAGAGCTTAAATTTGGTATAATTTGCAGACTTGGTTCTTCACCAGTTTAAGGAATGCTTAGAGGATTTTTATGTAGAGAATATAATCTCACAGTTAATATTTTATCATTAAATTTGCACCATTTTTTAATCCACTCTGGCATTTTGCTTACTTATTTTTTTAAATTTCTTTTGGGGCTTGAAATAAAATAAGATTAAAAAACATTTATTTTGGGGCTAACCCATGGTGTGGTAGTTAAGGCAGCTAGATCCCAAATGGCCAACTTCATGGTTCAAGTCCTGGACCTGTGGCTTGAAATTCACACTGGGTACATGTGTGTGTGCCCAAAATCCCCAAAGGAGGGAGAAATGGAGAAAAAACATTTTTAGAAATTTATTTCTTCTTTGAATAAGAGAGACAGAACCCCCAGTGGGTTTTCTTTTCTTTTCTTTTTTTTTTTTTTTTTTTTTCCTACAATAACTTCACCAGAGAGAGAAAAAGAGACAGTAAGAGAGAAAGTAAGAAGTCACCCCATGGTGGGGATGACCACACCACAGTCTTTCTCCTCCATTTTCCTCTTGGGATTTTGGACACACACGTATCACCTGGCATGATTTTCACACCTGCTGGTCCTTCTGCAGTATCACTGTTGGCGACGTGGGAGTCTAGCACCTTAACCACCATGCCACCTGCTGGTCCTTCTGCAGTGGGGTCTTACCGCAGCAGCCAGCCCCAAAATTATGGACATGTGTGTCTGGTGTACTCAGTGAGATGTCTGGATGTGAATCTGGAATTTTCCCATGTAAATGAGCCTTGTAGAGAGTCACATTTTACCCCCAAATTTCCACTGTTTGTCTTTTGAAGAGTTCTTTAATTTGAATATTGGCATTTGTCAGGTTAGTTGGCTGAATTGTTCATTTTCACATTCATGTATATAAGTTATATTACTCTCTTATTTAAGATTTTCTGAGGGCACTTTTCTTGCCAGAGAGAAATACCACCTGACCCCTCAGAAGGGGTGTGATTGCACTGCAATCCCTTGTCCTCCATTTGTCCTTCCTATCAGGACTTTGGGCACACATGCACACATGCCTGGACTGGTTTTCATGCCATTGAGGCTGGGATTAAAACCATGTTTGGCCATCTAGAATCCGGCTCCAAATGCACAGCATTTAACCACTGCACCATAGGACTGGCCCTTGTTATGTTACTCTTAGCTTTTTAAAAATCTACTATTTGGGGACCAGCAGGTGGCATGGTGGTTAAGGTGCTGGACACTCCCACATGGCCAACCACGGTTCAAGTCCTGGACCTGGTGCCTTGCTTTCCCACTTTCTCTCCCTCTCTCTCTCTGGTCAAATTAAAATAAATGAATTAATAAATTTAAAAAAAATCTACTATTCATTACATAGAAAAAATAGAGTTCATCTCCTTAATTTAGATATTACTGAACAAGTTCTTTACTCATACCTTGGGTATTAGAAACATTCTTTTTTCTTTGTTTTTTTAAAAAATGATTTCCAATCTTTTTATTAAAGAATTATTATAATTAACTAACTAACTTTCTTTCTTTCTTTCTTTTAATTTGACCAGAGTGAGAGAGAGAGGGAAAGTGAGAAAGCAAGCCGCCAGGTCCAGGACTTGAACCATGGTCGGCTATGTGGGATCCAGCGCCCTTTACCAGCATGCCTCATGCTGGCCCTCTTTTTTCTTTTAAATGATATATTGTTTATATTCTGGACTCAGTGGAGCTGAGCTAAATGGTTAGGCTCCTGCCAGACTTACTACTTTAAGTTTTATGTTGTTGATTTTTGTTGATTATGTTTAGGAAAATAAGTGAACACAACTAATTTCCAATTTAATATTTACCTAAGGACTTGTTTTGTGTTATTCCAATAATTAAATAATAATCTTGGCTTTAAAAAAATTGTTTTAACTGCCAGAGGGCATATGCATTCACTAGAGACAAAGAGATGGGGGGTGGGGGGGACAGAGAGGGGAGGGAGAGAGCACCCCCCAGTGGGTACACTTCCTTTTCTCTTTCTCTATCCTGTCAGGAGTTTTGGTGCGCGCACACACGCACCTGGCATGTTTTTCAAACTGCTAGGCAGGTATCTGAATCATAGTTGGCCAGGTGGGATCTAGCTTCCTTTAACCACCGGAACATGGGCCAGATGGTCTTTAAAATTCTTTCGGGGGCGGGGGCAGCAGGTGGCATGGTTGTTAAAGGTGATGGATTCCCACATGGCCAACCTCAGTTTGCGTCCCCCGACTTGGCTTGCTTTCTTGCTTTCCCTTTCTCTCTCTCTGTTTGGTCAAATTGAAAAATAACATTTACAAATGCAATTAAATAAATAAATAATTCTTTTAAAAAAATTCTTTCTGGGGACTAGCAGATGGCTTAATGTGAGTTTTTAAGCCTCCAGGTCCGGGACTCAGATTGTAATCCACTACGTGGGAGTCCAGCGACATAGCCATTACGCTAACTGCTGGTCCCCCATAAATTACTCTTTATAGGTGCTGCTTTATTTATTTTTAAGGTAGAAAACCTGAAGATTGTTTAACCCTTCGAAGCCCTCACAGTGAGAACACCCATTTCTGAGGTTGGTGTGCTAGTTGAAGAACATTTTTCTTTAGATTGAGAAGTTTCACTAGTGCCACTGGTCAAGAAGTTGCAGTTTAGAATCTAATGTGTTCTAGGAGTGTGATATACAAGACTTTATGCCAAAGACCAAGTTGGAAAATTGACTGAATATTAGAGAGCATGTGGGGAAGTCTCACACTGCTGGTGGCAGAGGTAATTGGTCAGCTAATGTGAAGAACAGTTGGGAATATCTAGAAAAATTGAAGATGTACATGCCCTATGACCCAGCAACTATACTTTTACATGTAATATACCTAGAGAAACATGAACATGAAGATATATGTATAAACACATTTGCTTCAGTGTTTACAATAGTATAAAATTCAGACTGACCTAAATGTCTGTCTTTAAGGAAACAAAAACATAGAATCCAGTAAAATCATGATGGAGTACTGTATAGGCGATCACATGAATAAGTCCGATATATGTATCAATACAGATAGCTCTCAACCTGCACACAAACATATATAAATAGCAGCAGTGACTGAAGAAATACACAGGAAATTCATGAAAGTGGTTGCCTTGGGTTGGAAAGTAGGGTTAAAAGAGTGGAACAGAACTTGGGAGGGGAATAAAGGGAACCACAGCTATCAATGTAATATTTTATATATATATATATATTTATATTTAATATATTATTTAATATATATTTATATTTAAAAAACCTGAAACACATTTGATAAGGTTTACATTTATTAATTCCAGATATATTGATATATTTGGTATGCTATTATCTGAGCTTTTTTGTGTTTATAAAATACTTTATTTTATAAACTTTTTAAAAAAGTTTATTTCATGGAGAGAGAGAAAGATAGGCACCAGCAACAGTCTCCTCTGCATTCATCCCCCCAGCCTTTCCAGTCCACCAAGATCAGGGCCACACAAACATGACAAACACACAGTTCACGTGTTTTAGGTCAACCCTGGGACCAAACCCTGATCTTCCATAAGGCTCCAATGTCGTGCAGTGGTGCACTATTGCTGCCCCACTGCATCTTGCCTTGTTTTATAAATAACTAATAAATACATTGCATGTTTTAATTTTGGAATTCAACTTTATGATATTATAGAATGTGTCCTGGAAGAAAGATAAGTGTTTAAACTTTTTTTTTCCATTTCTAGTAAACCTCTAGATAATGCCAGTAAACTTGCACAGCTTGTTGAAAAGAAGCTGGAAGACTACTACAAAATTGATGAAAAGAGCCTAATAAAGGTAATGTATGAAAAATAATAGTCTGTATTATTTCTTTATAAGCTAAAGAAACTTGTGCATTCATTTTCCAGTATTGACTTGGAAATCATTGAAATAGATCTCCCAAACTGATTCGAGAGTTGTTAACAAAAGTAGTAGTGGAAACCTTACTAGACAGTGTAGTCTACAGGAAAGATACAGATTTTGAAGTTACCTCTGTGACCAAATCCTGGTTTTTCTATTGAATTGGTTAACAGTTTAGACAAGTTATGTAATTTCTTTGTACCTAGGTTTTCTTTTCTATAGAAGGAGGATAATAAGAGGATACCTGTTTTATAAACTAGTGAGAAAATTAAATGAGTTAATACTTATAAAGTCCTTAGAATAATCTTTGCCACTAAACAGACATTTACTAAATGTAGGAATTCCTATTGTTACCCTGTGACCTTGAGTTTATTTATTCATCTGTAAAAAAGATGAGCTAATACAAGGAGTCTTCAAATAGTTCATAGGAATGCATATTATGAAAAAATCATATGTGGATTTCAGAATTTTTTTGCAGCAAAATAAATTT